TCCCATCCCAATGCCTTCAGCATGGGAGTGGGATGCAAATTATCACTGTCAAAGGCATGGCTTGATAAAGTTACTTATTTTGGTCTACAGTTTCCAGACTCCCTCAGCCAGATTTTAATCAAAGGTCATTCAGGATTTCAATTATCTCAGTCAAAAACAGAATGCCAGCAAACTCAAGCAATGTTTTTACAAGCTTTGTTGCCATCCTTTGGGACTGCCATCTGAAATTAACTTTACTGTTTTCAAGCAAAAGGAATAAACAGCATCATAAAACTTAACACTCAAAGACTTTTTATTTCTGTTATTTTTGCTATTGCTGTTATAAGATGGAATTTCATAAGTCTGCATACTTAGTTGATACTATACAGGACTTAATACAAGCAGTTTCTGACACTTTGGGGAACTATATGTGAGCAATTTCTGACTTTAAAAAAAGTCATCATCTTTTTGGAGCAGTTAACATTACATTTTCAGCTGAAGCAATCTTTCATTTCAGCAGCAAAGTTAACAGCTACAGCAGTAACATCTGGAGGAATGATAAAACCAATGAGTTTGGACACTATCAGAAAGTCGGTTTTAAATCATAGATCTTTGACCACTTCTCTCTCTCTCTCTCTCTCTCTCTCTCTCTCTCTCTTTCTGAAAATAGACTCTTGAAGTGAGGATTTCCATTAAAATGAGCAAAAAATTATATGGTTCCATGGTAGAAATCATTCATGGAAATGGAGATCTAAATTCAATACAGTACACTTTTGCTTGCATCAGCAACACATTCTGTTCTAGGAAATCAAAGTCTTTCTGCCTCTCCAAATGGTGCATTGAAACCTGTGCCAGGCATTGAAACCTGTGCCAGTAATGTGGTTCTTCGTCTATACATTTCTTTCTCTTTATTCTTTTCTTTTCCTCTCTTTTCTAAGAAATATATTAATCATCTACTAAACTCACACTTCCTTTATGTCTGTCACATCTTTTTTATTTTCCACAAGTTCTTGTGGAATGTTATGGACTAGAATGAGTGAGAAGGTGTCCTGTTCTTTATATTGTGCAGATTTGGAAACCTTAAAAGCTGGGAAATTGAAGGCTTCATTCCAACAGGACACTCATGGTCTCATGGCACTTTCAGCCTCTCCCCACTGTAGCTCTCTGTGATGCTGAAAAATAGTTTTGGGGGCTTCTGGGACTTCTTAAACAGGATTTTATAACATGGGAGCTTCAGGAAGAATGCATACTTCTTGTTGTGAACTTGAAGGCTTTCACAGCCAGCATTCATAGTTTTTTGAGGGTTTGGGGGCTATAAGGCTGTGTTCTAGAAGAGTTTATTCCTGATGTTTCACCAGCAGTGTGGCTGGCATCTTCAGAGAATGCTGGCATGGAAGAGAGTGGAAGTATATATGCTGTTAGTTGAGAGGAAGCGATTTATGTATTGCTCTGTTGCTGAATGGCAAGGCCCTGGGTAATTTTCATTTGCATTTGCTGATACTTGTTGTTGGATGCTTTCAAGTCATTTCAGACTTATTGACTCTAAGGCAAACCTATCATGTTTTCTTGATAGGTTTTCTTGGCAAGATTTGTTTTTTTTTGGGGGGGGGTGCCTTTGCATTCCTCTGATGCTGTGAGAGTGTGACTTGTCCAAGGTCACCCAATGGGTTCCTGTGGCTGAGCAGGGATTTGAAGCCTAGCCTCCAGAGTTATAGTCCAGCACTCAAACCACTACACTATGCTGACTCTGAATGGATTATGCCTCCACTTATATGGTGGAAAGTGTAGGAGTACAGTGTTGGAGCTGGCCAATGTATTGTACTTGTTTTTAGAAGCCTGCTAGAATTTTACTTAAATTTCCTATATCTACCTTCTGCATTGCTGGTCTTAAATAGAAATATTATTAACTCATATGTGCACAACTTTTTTCCCCTTAAGCTAGTTTTATACCTTCTCACCTACAGTACAGTCATAAACATTGTTATAAAATTTCTATCCAGCATATATGCCCCATGGAGTGTTTGAAAAACCGTTCTACAAAAAAAACATAGTTTTATTAGAAACCTCATCACTTTTCATGCAAGGCATATCAGATTATTTAGTTAGTAGTTCAAATTGGAGGGCAGTATAGTCTACAAAATGCTTTAAGCATCTGTGATTAGGCCTTGTTTTGACGTTCTAGATCAGGGGTAGGCAACCTTTTTGAGCCGGGGGCCGGGTTGCTGTCCCTCAGACAATTGGGGGGGCTGAAGCACCATAAATAAATAAATTATATAGATAGATAGATAGATAGATAGATAGATAGATAGATAGAGATATAGATATAGATATATATAAAATAAAAAAATTAAAAAATATGCATGCACACTGTCTCAGCCCCAGAAAAGCCATGATGGCAAAACCCCTGTAGAGATTTTGCCAAGAAAACCCCAAGAACAAGTAATAACAAGAATAATCAATATCATCATGGTGGGCAGCGGCGGCAGTGGCAGCGGCAGTGGCAGGACTGGCCTGGGGCTGGTCCAAAGGCCTCGGGGGGGCCACATCCGGCCCCCGGGCCTTAGGTTGCCTACCCCAGTTCTAGATGCTCATGCGGAAAGTGGAAACAGTGTTACACAAAATTGAATAGTTTCTTTGCACATTCAGTGATATGTTATTTATTATTATATAAAGAAGACATGGTTTATTTATGATAGCACACAAAAAAGAGCACCATTGATTTTTAAGGAAACTTATCAGTGTTGTGTATAAAGAACTCACTGAGTGATGATTCACCTGAAAAGTTTACACCTGCTTGTTGCACCTGATTTTCTTGCAGTAATTCTAGGAGAACAGGGATTGTAGCTACAGAGGAAGCAAAAGGAGGGCATTTCCCCTTCAAATAAGAATTCTTCCCCCACAAATGAAATTTTTCTTCAGCTCCCAAATTTCTAGCATTCCAAAGAGTGAGACACTCAAAACTGTTTACATATTAAAAGTCTTATACAGCCAGGCCCCCACATCCACAGATTCTGGATTCCACCATCCATGTCTTGAAAACATTCCCCCAATTCCAAAAAGCAAACCTTGATTTTTCCATTTTATATAAGGGACATAATTTTATTATGTCATTGTATATAATAGGACTTGAGGATCCACAGATTTTGATACCCATGGTGTGTCCTGGAATCAAAGTCTAGGGGATATTAAGGCCCTACGGCATTTGTTATGTTGGTGTTCCCTTAGATTTTTTTTCTCTCCTCTTTCTTTGGGTGCCTAAATTCCATTTCTAAATGCTCAACTGAAATTTTAAGTTGCTGCAGTTCTAGAAATGTTTGGAATGAAATACATTTCAGAGGTGGACAGAATTCTTATTTGGTGGGCAATGCCCTCCATAGCTATATCCCTGATAGTAATACAAGAACAATCAGAACATTCAGATGGAACCATGGCAGATTGCAACAGAAAACAACAATAGCATATGTGAATGCTATGTCAATGATGAAATAGGCAAAAGGCCTAATATTTTGAGGAATGGCATATTTAAGCACCCTCCCCGAAAAGTCAAAATGGGTACAGAGATTTCTGTATTAAGATTTTATCTAATAAGGTTATTTTAGGTGTAAGTATGGAGGTTTCTTGTGCATACCTAAGTAGGTTTGTAATTACAGTAGGAATCAAAAGCATCCAGGATATACAGGAGCGAGTAAGTGGAGGGAAGGTCTTCAAAAAATCAAGAGAGGACTGAAACCTAAGGCAGCACACATTTTGAGTCCACTTATATTAAGAGCTGCACAGCAGAAGGAAAACTTTCCTGTTACACACTAGTTTCCTGTGGCATCTTTTATGAAGTTTGTGTTAGCAGAAGAGAATCCAAAAATAAAACAGTGAAGCAAAATATAAAACTAAAAATGGGGCAGCAGAATCACCCATGGAAGTTAGTGCTGAGTTCCGTTATAAGAAAGATAGAAAGTTCATTCTGTTCTAATTCTTCAGCTAGCAAGAGAAAAGAGAGAGGCATTAAATACTTTAGTTTGATGATAATGGAGATAAGGAAAGTAGTCACTTTTTTGGTTAACATCTTTGAAGTATGTAATGTGCTGAGAAGAAATCTTACAAAAGAAAGGTACCAGTTAATTACTAGAATTATGAATGAAGGAAAAGATTTAAAGGCATATGAGGCATTTAATTTAAGAACATAAACATGAATTTGGGGATTAGTGAATTATTCATTAACATTTGCATAATTTACAGCATGAAATCAAGGTGTCAGGACAGACTAGCAGTCTAAATGCTTAATTGTTTTAACTTCACAGGCAAGGAGAAATAATTATTATAGTTTCCTCAATACTGTGGGGCAAAACAAATATTTTTGTGCAGGTTTCTATTCTTTGTGGATCTCAAAGTAGTCGTTGTTGTTTTTAAACTCAAAGTGTTCTTGAGAATTTTTCTGCACAGAAAAATGTGCAAAGATTTTGCTCAAAACCTAAATTTCTTGCCCAGAAAATAGTGAACAGGAATCAGATGTTCTGTATAGAAAAAGTATGTTTTGGGGTGAAAAAACCCACTTGTTTATCTGTACATAAAAATCATACAGAATACACTGGAATTTCAAATACTGGGAGAAAACTCAAAAATTTTGCTAATTATTCTTTCCAATAGTGTTTCTTGATTGTAAGAAAACCCATTTCTCAACCAATAAACAAATAGTAATGAATATTCTCTCCACCCCTAGGACCATCTCATATCTATGTAGTCACCGTCCAGATTTACACACTTTTTCCAGTGTTTCTTGACTGTCCAAATACCATTACTGTAGAAGTCTTCAGATTGCACCTTACGAGGATTTTATACTTTAGCCACTTCTGGAACAACCTGTCACAAAAATAAAGGATACAATGAGCTGATTTTCTCAACATCATGCACTTAGGGACCAATGATGACACTGACAAAATTTCATTTGTAAATCTGGATGGTGACTACATAGAAATAAGTTAACAACTACAAATCAAAACAAACTTTCTGTCAAAATATTTTAAAGGTAATAATTAAAACTTAACAATACACCCTTGTAAATTAATGGAGTAAGAATGTGAATTCCTGCATGACTTCTTAGAATAAATTGAAGACCAGAGGTTGAAACCTGAGCTATTCAGAGTTTTGACTCCTATTTCCATGAATGGGTTCCTTACCTACAAATAAACTCAGTGCACCCCTGATCTTGGGCAAGTCACATTCTCTCAGCTTCAGAGGAAGGCACTGGAATGCAGTCTCTGAACAAATCTTGGCAAGACAACCCCATGGCAGCCTAAGGCTCATCATAAGTTGAAAATGACTTGAGGGCACACAACACGCATGTTCCTGATATGGAAGCCACTGTTGCATGTGATTGAACAAGGCCTTAAATTGAACAAGATTCTTAGAATTGGCAAGCATACAGATGAGGTTATGAACCCAGATATTGCCAGACTGCATGTTCAAGCACCCATAAACTACCATAGCCAGTGGTGAAGAACACTGGGAATGGCAATGCAGCAACATCTTGAGAGCCAAACAGTTTTCACCTTGGTGCAGAAGAACATGTCTTCCTGAAGAAGAATGGGCATAGCTTCTGCTAGAATAACCACTGTTTTAGACTTCTTTGAGTGTGCCTGGGATCAGGTGGAGAAAGATAAGCCAGTAGACATAGCATGCCTGGATTTGAAAATGTCATTAGCCAGAGGTGCCTGAGAAAACTTAGCCATTCTGGGGAAAGAGAATGGCTCTTCTTATGGATGTGTAACCAATCAGAGAAAAAAAAATGTAAAAAGTATGCATAAATGAAAGGAATAAAGAGATGGGAGATCCTCCCAAAGGTGCATATTGTAAGAAGTACTTTTAAATTTGTTTATAAAAGAACACAAGTAGTATCAAAACAAAAACAAAAAAGTGGCAGGGGAAATTAGAATGGGTAGTGGTCTTCTTTGCATCCAGGTGGCCCTCTTGATTCATATACAGCACAGAAGCATCTCATCTGTCCTGAGAAACCAGATAATATCATTTTCTGCACAGAAAAATCAGGTTCCTAGGCAGAATATGCTGCAATTGGGGACTTGGTCTCCACTAAATTTGCACATGCTTGATTTGCACTAAAAAAAAAAACATTTTCTGTGCAGGAAACAGAGGGACTTGCTAGATATAGAAGCTTAAATCCACAAATAAATGGCTTCAATACTGCCAATGCAAAGGGTCTTAATTCCACTCAGTATCTCCTCTGTGGTGGTCTGGGATGGGGAGAGGGTGATGCAGTGGGTGGGATTCACAGAATTAAAGTAAGGGCTACCTTGTATGACCAGATGTACCTACTGTAAGAACATTTGATGAGATGTACATTATTAATTCAATGAATAAGAACACCACTTTGAAAAGACTCTTATATTTTTGCTAAAAAAATGAGTTTCAAAAGCTATTTACAAAAGCTTCAGATAGGCAAAGTCATTGGCCTTTGGGATCCAATTTGACACCAGTTCCCTAGGTCAGTAGAGCCTACCGAAAGCTTAGTACATGTTGCAGAGGGCTTGGCAGCATTTGATGGTATAAGATGATTCTGGATAAACCAATATCATCCTCAACAACAATTCCAGTAATTACGACAGGGTGGTGAAACATCACCGCTATTGATGATCTTCAGGAACTAAGAACATGAATAAGGGCTATAAGGAGCAGACAGTGGCCCATTCTTAAAAAACAAAAAATAACAATTACTGCATCTCTTTGTTTACTTGTTA